GGTTGGGGGGGTATTTGCTCTTTGACGCTCAGATGAGGTGTCTGACTTACACATTGGTGGGTGTTAGAAATACTCGGAGCTGTCAGAAACGATTAAGGAGCAAACTGCATGCTGCTCTCTGCTGAGCTGCTTGGCATTTTGTCAGAGCACATAATTTACACTCGGGGAGCCGTACTTTACAAGAACCGCACTTAAGAGCGATTTGATAACTAGGCTGCATGGAAGCTCTGAGATGAAAGCGTCCCCACTTGTTAAAGATATTCAGGAACTTGTTAGGTTTACGGTGGGGTATGGAAGATCGTGTCAGTCAGCTGTTAATATTTTAACAGGGATAATAGTAGAAGAGGTTTTGAACGTGAAGCTCACTTGTCGAACATCCGAAACAGCTCTGCTAGTTCTTCCTCTGTCTTTCCTTTGCTGTCGTCCTTCATGCATCGCACCATCATGACCAAGAACTCATCGAAGTCCACTGTGCCACTCCCTGCAGACACACACACACAAACACACACATTTCATCACATTCTCACACTTCAGTTACATTTAACCAACAGCTTCCTGATGGTACCTCTCATAAACAAACACATCAATGTTAGCCGGGGTGTCATACTCAAATTAAATTCAAAACTTGGTCTGAGCCAAGGGTCAAGTTCTGTCAATATTTGTAGAAAAAAATACTGGCTTTAAAGGCACAGTGTGTAGGATTTTGTCATGTCTTTTAGCCGAAATTGAGATAAGCACTAACGACAATAATAAAAAAACATGTCTAATCATTGCAGACAAAGAGCTGTTTATATCTCCATGGTCATGGGTCGCCACACAGGCTGCTGCCATCTTGCACCGCCATCTTGCCTACGAAGGCTCATGAAGGACAAACTGCGGTGGCGGCGTCAAAAACGGTTTTGGTTGTAATACTATAAATGTAATATTTGTTGTCTGTCATTGTAGCTGGGATAATTTTACTTATTAAAGCTCATAATCTTACCACTTGAAACATCACGAGCCCTGAAGCTGCTGGTAGACATCGCGGTTGGAATTATCAAAGGTTTTTGACACCTGAGAGACACCGTAGCAACTCCTTTGCATTTGGAAGGGGGGTGGAGGTGGGGGGAGGACCAGGGAGGATGATTCAACCACTCAACCACTAGATGTCGCTGAAAACAACAAANTTTGAAGCGGGGGGTGGGGGTGGGGGGAGGACCAGGGAGGATGATTCAACCACTCAACCACTAGATGTCGCTGAAAACAACAAATCCCACACATTGTGCCTTTAAATGTTATCCAACAATTTACTCTTATGGAAATACAAAATCCTTTTTTTCCCAATTATGTTTTATGTAGTGTTTAGAACACAAATAACCTAGCAAATAAAGAAAAAAAGATTAAACTTAGAAAAACACATCATTAGCATTTATTTCTTAGGCCTTTAATACAGTGACAAAGTAAGAAACAATAAAATTATTTTATATTTAAAGTATTTCCTTTGGGGCCAGATAAAATGTTAACGAGGGATGGATTTGGCCTGCGGGCCTTGATTTGACCCATGATGTTAGCAGAAAAGTGAAGGTTTAGGATGTATTTGTCCACATCTGTGTGTGTGTGTGTGTTTGTTTTAGAGCTGCACAATACATCACTTGAGCATCATCATCTCATTGTATGTGTGGGTAGGTGCCAAACTAAATATACATGTAAACAATAAGTCATTGCACTAACACAAGTCATGTGTTACAGCTTTTGTTTTGATGATTTGCTTCTGCTGGCTCTGGGTGCTTCGCATAAAAAAACGACAACAACTAACTTTCATTTTGCTAAGAAACTTCTGGAACTTTTTTGTAGAACTGCTGTCGATGAAAAGGTCATGACGAAAACAAAGAGGAAAAGAGTCAAAATACAGTTCAGCACGATTGCTAATACTAAAGCATGATGAAAACAGAAACTAAGACAAAGAGACAACACGTTGGGTTTGTTTACAGGTAAAAATCATTTCACATTTGCTCCTGATAGAAGGAAACATGTACTCAGGTACAATAAAAACAAGCAATAAAGGATAAGAAGAATGAAAAACACATTTGTAACATGTGCAAAATAGGATCAGTGCACGTTCATCCGCAACAAGATGGCAGCTAGTGTTTAAGTCAGTTCTTGAAAAATCTTGTATTTTTTCATATGCAAGGAACATCGCAGGGTTAGAAAAAAGTTTGTTTTTCCCAATTTCTGCAGCCCTAATTTGTTACCAAAATATTTTTTGTCCCACAGGGCAAATATTAATGAAACAAACAGGATGAAATGATCGACTGTACAGCTATAAACTGTTGAAGAAAACACAATTCAAGATGGCTGCCACAGCCGACTGACCGTGAAAAACACTAAATGTTTCCAACTCAGTCAGCCATAAAGATACTTATCAAATATTTGGTGTGGAAGTAGCTGAAGCTGATTACCAACATACACACTGAGCACAGACAGATTGCTCAACACTGAACTATTTTGGAGTCTAATCTGTTAGTAAAATATCCCATGAACCACCAGACAAACAGAACTTACACATATCAGTAGATGTGCTTCTACAACTGATTAACATTCAGGGTAAATCCAATTCAAGCTAGCTGCTAAGGCTTACCCACATTAGATAACACAAAACCATCTCAAACTCAGTCAGTTTTACAGATGTGGAGCTAAAACTGTGGCTTTGTTATAGTTGAAAGATTCCTTACAGAAACGCTTGGACTTTTTATTTATTTGAACACACTGTTTGTTGCAGACTAAAGCTTTCAAACAAATCTGAGATGTTGATCTTCCATCTTTGCATGGCGCGTAAAATTCAAGCTGACTTGTTCATTGCCTGATACATGTTTCCCTTTAATCCAGCCTGACATCCTTCTCTCTGTGAGACCTTTGACATTCAGTTTCCAGGGTTTGACTGAAGCCTGTCTGTACAACGTACTGCACCTCATAGGTGATCCATGGGCATAAACAGGTCAACAACAATTTATTTAAACTGCTTTGTAATTTTGTTTAATTTTTTTCAGCGCATGGGTTGTTTCTGATTTACCGTCTTCATCCACTTCATCAATCATTTCCTGCAGCTCCTCCGGTGTGGGGTTCTGACCGAGCATCCTCATCACCTTCCCCAGCTCCTTGGTGCTGATGCAGCCGTCCTCTGCATCTTGGACGAAAATGTCAAAGGCGGCCTTGAACTCTGTAACACCACAGCAGTGTGCACACAAACACACAAAGAAAAAAAAAACTATTTCAGGGTGAGGTGTTTTTAACATCGCCTAAAGAAACATCTGGCAACACCTTTTTAGAAGAGTTTGAGGCAATAGCTCAGTTTTTTTAATCTTTTACCAAAGTGTTGTTGTTTACTTCTTAAATGAAAATGAAATATAGGGGTTAAGCAAAATAGTCATATAATAAAAGCATTAAATGTGGAAACATTGGTGTTAAATATATATCAAATTTAGCCCAAGTTGATAAATTGCACAAACTCGTTAAAATTTATACAGACATTGTATGTAATTTAAATTTTTTTATTTCAATTAACTGTTTTTTAACAGAGAAATACAATTTGATTGTGCTATTTTGTAACTTGCAAGATAAGAATCATTAAAATCACTGCAAAATTTTAGATTTTACCTTAAAATAAATAAGAAATATTTTTGTCACATCACCCACTGTTAGATTGGGCTGACATGCCAACAACTAGGCTGAGCAAAGACTGCAATCTTTAAACATCTCCAATCTTCAATATTTTATAGTATTATATTCAAATAGGCTTCACTGGATGGATGAGCTAAAACTGCCAGCAGGGTGGAACAGTAGTTAGTACTGATACCTCACAGCAAGACGGTCCTGGGTTCAATAATAATAATAAAACAAACTAGACAGTTTGCATTTCCTTAAAAAAATCCAGTGTGAATGCTTAATGCTGAAAGATTTCGGCTGAATGTCACAAAAACAGAATGACCGTTTACTGAACTGCAGGTGAATTTAGCTGAAAAAATAGCTCAAATTAGCTATAAAGTAGCTAAAAACACACAAAACAGTTAAAATTAGCAGAAAGAAGCTGAAAGAAGCATTAAAGGTGTAAAATATGCAGCAGAAAGAAGCTCAAAAAAGTTTAAATTAGCAAAAGAAAAAGTCAAAATGATAGCTAAAAACACATAAATAGCTAAAATTAGCCAAATAGAAGCCAAAGGAAGCTGAAATTAGTTCAAAGACATAAGAGGCAGAACAAAGGCAAAAAGCACAGTAAAGATTTGTAAATGTTTTGAAGGGTTTTAAGGATGTTGAAAACAGCTCCATTCATTTTCAGTGAGGAAAGACTTGGCTGAAAATTTTAAATATCTCAAAAAGTATAAATTGCTGAAATATCAGAAGTCACAGCAGGAACGCAGAACAAGATATGTGCCAAAAAAAACAAACAAAAAGTGATGTTTATTAGCCTTCACACAAGTAGGTAATCCTTTAGTTAGGGTTGGTTTGGGTTTCCTTAGCCATCCTTTAGTCATGCTACTACAGGTTTAAACTGCTGGAGCACAAATCTGACCACATTTCCTCTGCTGCTGTCTTTACTCACACTACTCTCCATGTTTGTGTTTGCATTTATTGCTGCCATTGATATTTGCTTTTCTTCCCGTAGAAACTACACATAGACCAGTCGTTCTGTGTTTACCAGTTTATTCCTCTTGTCTTCTCTGATGCCGCGTTCACATCCAACACGTTTTGAGCATCAGGGACGTCTGGTTTACATGCAAAGTATGGTGGGCGCACGTCAAGGGGTGGGAAGTGCTGCGGCGCATCTAGCGTGGTGCATTTTGAAGCATTTTGAGCGTCCAAAGCATCAGACGCCGGAGTTGGAAAACCTGAACTTTAGCTGCTCAGTGCGAAGCGTCAACCAATCAGAGAGACTCTGCTATATGACGTAGTGGGATATTTTCCAACGCGACGGTCTCCTGAATCATACCCACTAACCTGAGACAGATGGACAGAAGTTCTTCAACTGAAATTTAGCGCCTGTAGTTGGTGTCCTCGCAGGAGATCTGGGCACCGATGCAGGTCAGCAGCTTATCAAGCTGGCTCTGGACAAAAATAGAGCTGAAAGCGAGCCTCGTCAGTGCGCAGCTTCTGGAGTGATGAAACTCACCAAACTCAGAACTCCTCTGAATTATCTGATGAATTAATTATGAATTAATTATCTGGTGAGCGCGACAAGCTCTTGCTCTTGCTCTCAGTAAATAAAGCAAAGCCACTTTCTTCATTTCATCCTCCATTGTACAGACACTGGCAGAGGACAACAAACAAGAGGCCCTTTCTGATGCACACGACGCACATCTAGAGAAATTATGACGAGCGTCTGACCTCAAAGTGCACAAGAGTTGGACAAGTATTTGATGCTCATAACGAATTTGGTCTGAATGCAGCATAACATCGGCCAGCTGAGGCAGATGGCTGTCCTTCATGAACACGGTTCTGTTGGAGGCTTCTTCTTGTTTAAAAGGAGTTTTTCCTTTCCACAGTGGCCTCTGTGCTGCTCAGGATGGGAGACTGTGACAAGGTAACCTCTAAGTAGCATTTTAAAATGTATGTGAATGATTTGTTGTAGGGTTTTGTGTTTGTTTCTTTTTGTTTTATTTTTTGATTATTTCTAGTGTTTATTAGTCAGTGTAGTTCTCCTGTCTGCCTCTGCCCCGCCCACACTCACCTGTTCCTCATGTCTCTGCCCAGGTGTTTCTCATTTATGTTCGTTAAAAAGGAACCCTGTATGTTCTCTGCCTTGTGTTCAGTTCCCTGCTGCTAGTGTGGTATATCCTCCGTGTGTTTTAACTCCTCATGTTTTTTATTAGTAAGTTTTCCACTACGACAGCCTTTTCATCTTGGTAAATAAATCAGCTTTTCTTTTTACTTCAAGTGCCTGAGGTTTTGTGCCTGCTCCCTGGACTTTACTTTACACAAACCTGACAATTGCATTGAAGGAATATTATGATTAACTGGATTTGTGAGTTGGACTAGGGCTGGGCAATAAAACAGTAACAACATATATCAGATAGACACGTGATCAATATCAATAGAAAGTACATGTGATAATACGTTAATTTCACTGAACTTTGATCCAGAACTGCACGGCATTCTGGGGGATGTAGGCAGAGTAAAGGCTTTAGCTGCTTGATCTCCCACAGCCCAGCTAAGTAAGGTCAGTGGCATCAACCAACTCTCTCACTCTTTGGTAAACTACCAACAACCTGTTCGGTAACAAGCAGCAGCAGTTTCATGTTTTGCCTCAGAACTGATAAAATTTTTTAAAAAGAACAATGTGGAGTGAAAGGAGAAAATGAGTTCAACAGTTTCAGAGGAAATTGTGGATAAAAGAGGAAAGGTCATGTTACCAGTTTGGTAGTATTAACCAGACTTTTTTCTCCTGGTCCTTATTTCAAATATGTAAAAGAAAAACTATGATATGAAACTCTTATATTTTGATACATTTTGGAGCCATTTCCCCTAAATACTGTATATACTGTATATATATAATGAATTGAGTCATTTTAAGACAACAGTATACCATTTATGTCTCATTCACACTCAAAAATGCTATTAGCGCATCAGTCCAATCCCTTCAAATTAATCAAAGAACATGCACAACATTAACTGTTCTCAACTTTTCTGCAGCGTCTATCTTCAACAAAAGTTCCACACTATCACAGTGAAGAAGCAACATACGCACCATTTTTCTGTTCATCTGTCAGCTGCTCAACCTGTAAAAGAGGGGGGAAAATGAAAGCATTCAGTATTCTATGTTTGATTCTGTTCAGACAATATAATATAGAGTTATAACCATGATATTAGCCTCTGTAGGCTAAATGATCATGGTCTGTTTCAACAAAGCAGGGCAATCCTTCACAAAATACACCACCTATATAAACCATATGTGTTTAGCCCGTTAAAGGTGGGGTTAAAAATAGAGCCAGGAGGGTCAGGAACCACAGACAAAGGACGCTGTACACAATGCTTTTAAATTAGCATAGCTGTGGAGCTGACCCAGCAATGCCACGGTAATCCTGGAAAAGCTACAACGAATGAGACGAGGAGACAGCTGCTTTTGTAAGAGTCGTCTTCTGTCGTCCGCTATAAATTAAACACACATATACAGATGCTCTCTCTCTCTCACACACACACACATACACACACACACACACACACACACACACGTCTCTGGCGACGATAAATATAAATATTTAAATAAAGGTTTGTTTTTTTTCTTAAATCCACCTGAACAAACATGTAAAAATGCATTCCAGGGTGCTTTTACTGTCTGCTCACTTGGGCAGTGAGTGGATGGGACAGCCGGTGGACTGTCCATGGGACTGGGGGAAAAGGAGGGCAGATACACCCCCCACAGAGTTTTTAGGATGATAGATAATGCTGGAATCAACAGAGAGAGAGAGAGAGAGAGAGAGAGAGAGAGAGAGAGGAGGGAGGAGGGTTTATTTGGAGGGGGGGTGTTATCTGGACCTGAAGGCCCGCTGTGCACCAGTGGAACCAACGGAAGCGTCAGAGCGGCTGACCAAAATTAGCCGTGGGGAGAAGGACGGTTCCATTTGAAGTCAAGAATGAGCCGGCAGACAAGTGACGCGTCCCGCCGCTGACCTCACAAGAGGAGCTGATAGGGTTGAAAATCCACAGACGTCTGTAAAGACGTGGCTCTTCTGATAGCAGCTGGGGATGGAGGTGATGGGCTGGACGTGTGGCAGGACGTTCACGTGATGTCAGAGGAACAGACAGATGCAGAACTTTTTTTCCCCTTCTTTTTTAATTTAACACACACACACACACACACACACACACACACACACACACACACACACACACACACACACACACACACACACACACACACACACACACACACACACACACACAAAAAAAAAACTAGTTTCCTTAAAATTTACAACTTAAGGCTCACGGAATGAAATTAAAGCACTTATTTTCTCACACAGAAAGTTTGTGAGCTGAATTAAAACAACTTCTAGCAGGTACACTCTCATTAGAAGTGGAGAGAGAGAGAGAGAGAGAGAGAGAGAGAGAGAGAGAGAGAGAGAGAGAGAGAGAACATACCGCTGCTTTGTAGATGTCGTTCATCCTGGAGGCTCCTCTGCTGCCTGTCCTGACTCTGTCCTGGCACGAAGGGAGGAGTGTCCGTCCAGCTCAGGGCAGGACTCTGCTCTCGTCCTGGGAGGGTTTTATAGCTGGTGCCTGGCACTGTCTGCCTGTCTCTCCCAGGGCAAAACAGCCTCACGCACATTCATGTCATCAAATGTGTGTTGTCTGCATGTGTGTGTGTGTGTGCGTGAGCGTCATTTGGCCAATCTGTCACAATCGCCAGGCTCAGATAAAAATGCAGCAGCTCTTAAGGGGGGGGCACACTATGGAATGGTATGAATGAGGGGACGTGCATAGAGAGGCCTAATCTCCAGGGAGAGGGCTATAGAGACACTCAACATTCCTCCAGACCTGGACCAGAGGTCCCAAAAACGTTCTGTGTCTGTAAGTGTGTGTGTGTGTGTGGGGGGGGGGGGGGGGGGGGGGGGGGGGGGGGGTAGAGGAGGTGGTCACATTATGGGACAGCATCAAACAGTTGGCCATGTTTGTATGTGAATGTTTACCTGACTGTATGCTTGAGTGTTATAATGTATAATCTAGATCAGAACAACAGAATCACCTCATCTGTTTGTTTAAAAGGATACATCAGATCTTTTAAAGTGGGGTTCTGTGGGAAAGAGTACAAAGAGTTATTATCTTACCTGTAGCTCCTTGAATGACCTGTTTGGAGAAACTACTTGACTTTGTTCAGTTTTATGAGGGTTTTATGAGCGAACAGTTGGTCTGAATGGGGCCAAGACCAAAGTGGATTGCTGCTATATTAAAACAACTATTATGTCAAAAGTTTTACAGGGACTTATATGAACACTGACATCAGTTTTGTCCTCTTTTGCAGAGAGAGCTGGAGAACGTGAAAAATAAACTGAGGTTTCAACTTCCATTTTGGTGTGTAGCAACATCTAGGTGGAAGAAAGACAATTGGATTGCCAAATCAAATTCCAAGATGGCTGCCACCTTATGTAAAACCGGCCAACCGGAACATTTGAAAAATTTATGCTTTGTAGTTTTTATATTGCATGTATAATGCAAAAACTTTAACCCCATAAATCATCCCTAAAGTTGGGGAGTCATATTGTACACAAGTGTAAATTTTTACCAAGTTTTTTAAATAATTACCACCACGGTAAATTTCAACATTTTTCATTTATATCTGAAATATTGTGTCATGGGGATAAATCATCATAATTTTTCCTGCTGTAGAATATGTTGTGCAAAGCTAAACATGTACAACAAGAGTTGTTTTTTTCACACTGGTGTTGGAGGAGGAAAAACTTTTTTTAACTGCAGAGATAAACGGTAGATGTGAACGTCAGTTGCACGTTCACATGCTCAATAGGACCAGATGAGTTGCTCCTCGAAGCTCCCCATCTTCCTAATTTAACATCTGACCCCTGATGTTGGACGGAATCATTTGCAGGAACATGAGAAGAATGATCTGCTCCTCCAGCCTCAAACACGCCCCCAAATGTGTGTCCCCAAAATCAATCTGCTTCCCCACCAGAGGGTACACTGCAAAGGCTGAAAAATCCTGAAGTCTGTATCAAATTAGGGGTAGCATTATACATGAAAAACTAAACTTTTAATACTTTTTACACTTCATACGGTAGTTTCCTCTAATGTTTGGGGTGTCCTAAGATTAATCTATGTTGGGAAAGGCTACAATTAGCCATCCCCTGACTCCACTGGTGTGTCTATTGGTGGATAAAGATGCTCCCTCTGTTCACTCTGCTTTATGGACATTTTTGTGTTTTATTCAGGGGCAACAATCTTCAATGAGATCTATTCAAATCTCAAACTGAGTTCCAGCCCCTTTTGTATTTGCTAAAGTTTATTAGCTGTGGCTGCCATCTTGAATTTGAATTACTTCAATTTGTAGTTGTAGTTGTAGATGTACGCCCAGTGATTACTTCCTCTAACACTAAGTCTACAGCAGTGGTTCCCAAACTTTTTGTCTTCTGACCCAAAATATTCATGGCAAAAACTTGTGACCCCAAATATTACTGGTCTGAGTACACGAACTCTGTTAATAACCCTAAAACACAGGCTTTTTGACAATCTAAACAGCTTGTACACACATATAAATACTTGTTTTTACTTATTTTGTGTTTTTGTAATAATTATAGGGAAAATATTACATCAGCAATTATTTTATTACCCTTTAAACTGATTTCTGGAGATTATCCAAGGTGCTTCATGACCCATAATAGGGTTCCAAGCCCAACTTTGGGACCCAAAGTGCAGTGGTTCCCAAACTTTTCAGCTTTTGACCCACAAAATAACAGTAGCAGAGACCTGTACCCCCAACTATTTTTGGATGATAAACATTTGTATCAGGTCAACAAAACATGGGCATAGTAACAATATTTTTACACTACATTTATCCATTTAAAATATACTAACCTCACTCCTTTGTAACAACTAAGGCAAAAATGTAATTAATTCAGAAAATKTTTTCAGGACCCCACCTTGATGTTTCGGGACCCCACTTTGGGTCCCGACCCGAACTTTGGGAAACACTGGTCTACAGAACAGGCACCATCTCCTGCTCTAACCCCAACCCTAAAAATCTCTCTACAAAAGGAACTCAGGCATGTATAGTTATATTTATAACATGAGTTATTTTATTAAATAAAGTAAAACATGTTTTAAACTATAAATTCTCAAAGTCTGTGTACTGATATGACTGCTGATTTGAAGTCTTACGTACGACACAGTAACGGTCAGCAGAGGATGCTGTTTGCTACATTACAACTAAATTAAATAGTTGCACAAGGCTGCCTCCGGGTATCCAATTCATCAATAGTGGGGAAGGTGAGAAATCTGGGTCAAACAAAGCAAACACTGGCAGACACATTTGAATTGAATTGTACCTGGGGCGAGGCTCTGCTGCGTATTTATCATGTTCGTTTTGAAACAAGGTCATCTCAATCACTTGACGGTGCAATTCATATGTAGTTTCACACACACACGCACACAGAGCACGCCATGGCAGGCATTTTAAGTGACGAGTGATCATGCTGGTTTATAATGGGATGCTAATGGGGGACTGGCACAGCTTACAAGCGTCACACAGGCAATCGGAGTGCGAAGGAGCTCTGGCAGAATGAACATACGTGTCCTGCGCTTTACAGGGGGAAACAAACAGGGTCTCCTGACATCAGAGCGCGCCAGACACAGGCACAAGGCAAGGCAGGGGCGAGATGGTGGGCACGACTATTTCTGTCGTTCAGCTGGATTTTACACCCGAGTCACACCGGTGTTGAGTTTCGACAGCAAAGAGAGAGAAATGAATCGTCATCGGTGGCATCGAATCAATCAGCTGAAACTCAAAGCATACTGATGAGTCGACGTGGTCAGCCAGACATTCATTTGGAAGAGCTGAGTGCAGTCTGGTGGGTGCCAAGAGTGAGGAGCAGAAGAGGGGGTGGATTCTGGTAATGTAAAGCTTTGGCGTTCTCACGTGCACTCCAACACACGCACGACATAGAGCCACAAGACTGGCACACACACATCAAAGAAAGCATATGGAGTGCCGTTTCATTGGCGCTCTCCACCAATTTCCTCTTACAGGGGAGGGGGGGGGGGGGGGGGGTGCTGACGAAAGAGCCAGCCATCTCCTCCACACAGCGCAATCAGACAGCGCATCTCAAATCCACAATTCACCGCACACCGCTTTTTGAGGGGTTGCCATAGAAACTCTGCTGGGTAGTAGCGGGCAGAAAATGAGAGGAGATGAACGGGGCTATTTCCCCCCACCACCACCACCACCACCACCCTCCTTCAGCTCCCTGCCTCCCTGCCGCCACATTTTGTCCTCAGAGTGACTGTTTTTTTCCCCTTCTTCTTCCTTCATACCATTCTGCTGTTTGCATACGTCCACATGGCAAATGCACATGTGGACGCGTCGCAGTCAGGGAGGACAAGCTGCCATTTGTGGAGACAAATCCACAGATGACACACTGTTTTTTTTTTCCTTGGTTCAGCTGTGTTTCTGTTTCAGCTGCTCAAGTGTTGGGTTTTGGCGGCGAGTTCCACCAAACAGCCGAATGTCTTCCTTCACAGGAAGCATGACAGAGTCCAGGTGTCAGAACTCACAAGGCGAGATGTCTCGTGCTGACTGGACTGCATTTAGATAAAATAAAATAAAATAAAGATCAACACTTTGTGGCTAATTTCCACGGTCATGTGACCTAATGATTGGGTTGACACGCAGCCAAGCCTGAAGCTTCTGCGCTCCCTTCTCCTCCCCTCTGTGTCCTAACCTCCTCAATCGCTCGGAGGAGGGGAGCTGAGCCTGTCAGCTTCCTTTCCTTCCTCCCATCCTCTCTGTCTATTCTTCTCTTTCTTTTACCTCCTTTCACTGACAACCAACCTGTCAGCAGCTCCTGTTGTGGCAGGCTGAGAGTGCTCTGCATGTGACTGGATGATATAGTTCTTTTATTTTAAGGTGTCCAGTTTTTGCAGAGAATCCCAGCTTTTGTCTAACCCAGATTTATGGATTTGTCTGCTGGAGACGGTGGGATGTCTTGTCTTTGCCTGACTGGGTTCAGTGGTTCCTCTCTGAAACCCTCTGAGCTGAGGCGCTCGGTGGTGTTACACAGTGTTCCTTAAATCAGGCCTCTAATGAGCCGGTGGCCACATTATTGCCGCGGCACAGACACAACCGCGCACCGACTTTCTGCCGACAGGGCTGCAACGTTTTCCAGTCCACTGGACCACCAAGTGGTCTAACACACCCCCTCCCCTCCCCATCTTCCTCCACCTCCCTCTTCCGACCTCCGAAACAGAGCACGAGACACCCAGTGAAGATCTCTCCTCAGATAAATGGCCGACGAAGATCCCTTCGAGCAACAGAGAAGTTGTGTTGCTGCTCCGTAGCAACAAAAAGAGCAGTCAAGGTTTTTGCTTTGTTTTTGTTTTCAGAAGAACGATGGAACAAACTTTTCCACCACAGATCGCTGAGAAAAATGACCTGATACTTAAAAAAACAAAAAGAAAAAAATTGTGTAGGTCTTCTGGACGGGTTCTTCTCTCATGAAACGTTTCGTCTCTCCTCCAAGAGACTTCTTCAGTCTGAGAGTTTCAGGCAAAATTCAAGCTTTTAAGCCCTGCCTCCATGTGACTGATACTCACATCACATGGCTATCGTTGACACCTAATTAACACTTATTGTTAACAGGGGGTGGAGTGATACAGTGACACATTACGGC